ATGGCTATTAGCACCATTGTTGAAAATCATTTGCCCATAAATGTAAGGACTTATCTGTGGACTCTCAATTCTCTTCCATTAATTTATATGTGTGCTCTTAAGCAAGAACCACAAAATCTTCATTAATGTAGTTTGTAGTGAATTTTGAAAGCAGAAATTTTGAGTTCTCCAACTCTGTCCTTATTTTTGTCAAGATTTTTTAGCTGTTCTCACTAGCTTAATTCCCATTTTTTAAAATAAGAAGAAATTCCTGATTTTTAATCCATACAGCTTTCTTTAACTAGTCCAAAGACATTGCTCTCCTCTTATTGTTATGAATCACTAATTTGACAAAGGGACTTTATATGAAGTCAGGAACCTTCAGAATTGAAAGAGCTTGAAAATTCTAGTTCAATCTGGATTCAGTGCAGTGATCCCCACCTACACTGTCTGTGACAATAACTCAGCTTTGTTAGAATGATTCAGGGATGGATACCTTTCGGAGAGAAATAATGTTCTGAGAAGAGTGTCACAATTCTTATTCCATCTTCTGTAACTCCAAAATCACTATGGCATTATATAGGGTAAGAATATCCTTTGCAGTTTATAAAACACATCTCATCTAATCTCCATTGCCTCACTGACTTCTAATACCCAATATATAGGTAAAAACAAAATGCAACGTACTACGGTGGAGTCAGAGCCAATTCATAGCGACCCCTCCCCTTGTGTTTCCAAGACAGTATCACTACAGAAGTAGGTTGCCCAACCTTGCTTCCAACAGTTATTATTCTCCTTCAAAAATAATGAAGACTCAGAGAAGTTAAATAAGGGTGTCAAGTACTTATACACATGATGCATGAATGCACACATCATAATTGAATCACATTTCCACCTTTTTATTATGACCCAAGATACGAGGTTCTGAAAGGTTAATCAAAGTTAAGCCGATTGTTTGATAAAGCAGGCAGTCTGGTATGATAGTTTAGAATACATCAAAAAGCTTGAAAGCTTTTTATTTTTAAAAGCTAGCTTTTGTGAACTAGAAATCTGACTTACATTCCTAAGTGACAGTGTGTGAAGTACTGCTATTTTTTAAATTAAAAAGCATAGTTAAATGACAACCACGCAGCAATACATTAAATTCTCAGTTAACAAGAGAACAACTCTTCAGAGCCATGAGGTCAAAATAAAAGCAGTACCACCCACCTGGTGGCAGCATATCCTAATTATAAGCAGAATACCTGCAGAGAAAAAAGCTGCTTCAGAGACACTATCCTCAAAACGCCAATAAAAAAAAAAAAAAGTTAGGAAATTCTGGCTTAGGTACCACAGGTACTACTCTAACACATGCTTCCATCTGGGAGGTCTTCCTAGCCAATATCACTCTGGGGGGTGCACGTGCAGTGATAATGGAAGCAAAGAGATACCTGGCTAAGCTCACCAAATCAGCTGAACTTATCCTAGGATCTGAGGGGGAGCTGGATGTGGCAAAGGAACACATATATCCATGACCCAGTTCAATTGCCTAGAGGAGAGAATACTGGCCTAAAGTCAGCTGACTGACTAGGTTCCAGGTCCAGCTTAAATGACCACAGGACTTGAGACCTCTTATGTCTCTTTTCATCTATTAAATAGAGAGAAAAAAAAAATTTTTTTTTTCCTGTATTCATTTTATTCTGCTTTGGTTACCTAGTGCCGCTCTGACAAGAATATACGAAAAATGGGTTGGCCTTAACAAACAGGAGTTTATTCTCTCACAATTTGGAGGCTTTAAGTCCAAGTTAAAAGGGCCAGAGGGGCTATGTGAAAGCCCCTCGACCTTGGGCTTCAGCTCTGCCTCTTGCTCCCAGCCCGCTGAAGCTAGATGCATCTCTTCACTCAGGCAGCTACTGCCTGCTGAGGCTAACAAGCCCAAGGTCGACAAATAAAATGGCACAGTCCTGATGTTACCAAACCACATGGCAGGCCATCAATTCAAGTCCATCATAAGTTCCAAGGTCAGCAGAGCATGGCAGCCTGCTGAACAATGACATGGCTACATGCAGGATCCAAGTGTGCCATAAGCTAGAGACCATTCCCCAAAGCTTCTCATTATATACAGGAAGCAGACCACATTCCCTAAGGCAGCTATTCACAGTAGATTCCACCATGGAATGGATTACCAGTCTCATCATGGGGAATATACTACATCCAGCTGCCTCGCCACTCAACCAGGCCTAGCCAAGTTAGCACACAAACTGAACTACCACACTGCCAACAGGAAAATTTTAAGTGCATATGAGTGTATAACCAGTGTGTATACACACACACACACGGATGTGTATATAACAAATGAAGAAGGCATTCTCAATTCAACAGCATAGGCTAAAACATTTTTTTAAAACTGAGGCTGATTTCATACACTGAAAACGAATACTCTCAAATTCAAGTGAAACTTTTACCTAATTTTTGAAGATTCTACTATGCTGAAATTATGAATGCTAAGTTTTCTTTAGACATAAAAGTTAATACTAGTTTAAATTAAAAGTATCCAAATTATACATGAAAAAAGGAGTCTATATTAAAAACCCTCTACAATTTCTCCCCATTTGGTCTCAGGACTACCTGTTGCATTAATGTACTCAGTGGTAAGTGGAGAGGTCTGTCATTTTCCAAAAATCATAAATGGTATAAAAGTATATTATGGTAGTTCACCTACAATGTTCATTGCCAAAGTTGCAAAAATTACAAAGTTAAAAAAATGAATACTATATCCTTAAATTTCGTATTTTTTTTTTCATTGCCAACACTGTAAAATTTGTTATCTTCCAAGACTTAAACATCTCTCTCTCAATATTGCTAAGCAACCTCTGCTTCTTGACAGTTTTCCTTTGGCATCATGACCAAAAAACTAACTAAAATCTAGATAGCTAATTCCCCTGCAACTTTGCTGGCTCATTATTTTCCTTGTTGTTCCTCATTTTTAACCTTGCTCTCATTTTTTAACCTATGCCAAGGACTTTCAAATCTCAGGCATAATCCTGATCACACATTTAAATGCCTACTACCCTACCTACAACCTGTAACTGAGCCCTTTCCCTTTGAAATTTGATCACCTACAATGAACTATATCTAAAATGAGGGTGCATTGGTGGGGCAATGGTTAAAAGCACTCAGCTGATGACCTAAAAGGTCAGTAGTTCAAACCCAACCTGCCAGCTGCTCTGCAGGAGAAAGATGTGGCAGTCTGCTTCCTTAAATATTTACAGCTTTGGAAACCCTGTGGGCAGTTCAACTCTGTCCTATCAGGTCGCTATGGGTTGGAATTGACTTGATAGTTACTTTTTTCTTTAATATGTAAAATTTTGTCCAATCATACTGCCATTACAAGTAGTCCCAGACTTATGACAGGGTTCCATTCCAATTACTACTACATTGTATGTCAGTTCTGACATAAGTCAAATACTTCTGACTCCCTTTCATTATCAGTATCTTTATAAATCAGATCTTTATTTGTCTTTGGGAAACATTACATCTGAGAATGATATCATCAGCAAATTACATGCTGGAACACTAATACACAGTACATATTATTAATGATAAGATGTAAAAAAATAAAAAAAAAAAGGATGGTTGTATGTGCAGTCCAATATAACTTGAATAGGTGGTAAGTCAGGGGACAATTTGTATTCTAAAATTGAAAGCTTTAGCACCACCCTTGTGTTCTCATTTCCTATGCCCAGTCAGTATCTAAATCTTGGGATGTCCCTTCCTTAAGCTTTTCTATTTAAGTTAAAAAGAAAAATTATTCACTTGTAGTATTTATAAATTTATAATAATATGTTAGGTGGACTAGAATATTTATGTTAACCAGACATTACATTCTCTTGCTTTAACAAAAGCTACACAAATAGACAAATTATGCTAGGCATTTGTTGGACCTGAAATCAGAGTAAGGAGAGTTATCTAGCTCAGCTAAATTAAAAATTAAGCATATTTAAGTTAAAACTGTCAGATGTATTTATCGCCACCACGTAAAACACCATGTACAATGTCAAGTTTCACTGGTCAGGGTATCTTGTCTCTTTAAACCATGCTACAGGCAGAATGGCATACTGCTTATTCTTGGGGGCTTAATAAAAATGGGGGCAGAATATAATTGACTAAGCATAGATTATTTAACAGCTTCTTAACTGCCCTCCTCTGCACTCTCTGTCCACTAAAACCTTCATACAAATTCTCAAGTCTTTCTAAATCACTTCAAATAAATTCTCAAATGCCCCTAAATCACTTTGATTCATATAATGGAGACATAAAAAGTGTGGGCAAGAACATGAGGCACCATGCTATGAAAATAAGTAACTGAATGGGACTATTACAGTGTTAAAGGAGTTCTGGTGCGGTGGTGCTTAAGGCATTCGATTGCTAACCGGAAGGCTGGTGGTTCAAACCTACCAGCCGCCCTGCGGAAGAAAGATGGAACAATCTACTTCAATAAAGATTTACCATCTTAGACACCCAATGGTGGTCTCTATGAGTCTAAATTGACTCGATGGCAGTGAGTTTGTTTTTTGGTTTATTATACCATTAAGCCACAAAGTCGTGAGTGCCAGACAAATTATAGTGTCTCACATGATCTAAATTAAAAAACAAACAGGAGAAACACATTCCCTTCAAATCAGCAATCCCACTCTGCTGAGAAGAAAATAGTTTTTAGATTAAACTGGCAAAAATAATAAAACAGAATAGTATACCACCACTACCTACCTATTTGGTCAATTATATTTCTCAAACTAAATACATTTTGAATTTTGTATGTTTAATACCAACGATACATATATAAGTAGAAAATGGCTCTCAACATTTCAATTAAATACTTACGGATATAAAAATACTTTCTTCATAAGGAAAAGAAATACAAAAACATCCATTCTACGTAGGCTTTTTTTTTTTGTTAAATATTTATGCCTAGTACAGTGCCTGGTCTATAAAACTCAACTATTGAACTGATGACAAAATATGCTAGTTCATATACAAACCTTGCAGATCTTCTGTTTCAGGTATTGCTTTGTCCAGAGATGTACTGTCCACTTGGGAAGATGCTACAGATTCTGATAAAAGTGACTGATTTGATACAGGGCTAGAAAAGCAAAAATATTTAGATTTTAAAAGATGATCTTCATGAGTAAATATTAACTAAAGTGATATTGTATAAGAAGAGCTCAACAAATCCAAGTAGATCATTAAGATGAGCATTAACAGGGATATGTTTTTTTTAATAACTTAAACATAACCATAGAGCTTTGAAACTGGAGACTAATTTGGATCAGAAGTTTGTTGCTTTAGAAACAAAGCAATAGTGTGTCCTCTGTGTATTTCAAGTACCACATGAATTCACTAAAGGAAAACTAGCATGATAAAGACGTGTCTAAGGAATCCCAACACAACCAAACATTTCCTATCATGAAGTGTGTGTGTGTGTGTGTGTGTGTGTGTGGGGGGGAACCTAAAACCCACAGAGTGGAAACTTTGTATCTAATTACTAACAGAATAAAAATGAAACAAATATGTCAACATTTTCAGGCTTCTTGATACAACTTCAAAATTTAAAAAAAAAAAGGTAGTGTAATACAAACTAACATGGTTATATCATGGTATTAAACAAAGAGAACTTGGCACCAGATTATATTTTTTAATACAATGTAACAGTATTTGCAGACTAGGAGTAAAATTTGAAGAACTAATTTAACATGCTTCAAAAAGACTTCAGTGATGAGTCAGGCTGCTGCTAAGGAAAAATGAAAGAAGACGGAAAAGCAAATCTGATCTAACAAGACACATCACCCTTAATAAAAAGCCTTTTTAAGAAGTCAGTAATAACTAGGTAAAAAATTTTTCCTAACGTGGCATTATACAGCTTTGCTTAATAGAATAATTCAAATATGAAAATATTATTTATTTTTTGTTAGCTTTCCAATCATAGTTCAGAGACGACAGCTTACCTTGACTGCATAGATGAAGATGTAAAATCTAATGATGACTGAGCTTCTGGGACATTGCCATCTGTGCACTGAACTGGTAAAGATTCAGACAGACTACTGACAGAATTTGCTGTAAGAGTACCACACTTCATATTAGTGATTCTGTACTCTGGGCAGTCCAAGACCTTATCTAAAAAAATCAAGATCAATTTTCCACAAAATGTAGAATACAGATTTTGTTTCACTATGTAACATAATGCTAGTTCTTTATTTCTAATTAAAACTTTTTCAATAGGTTGCTAATAATAAATGTTAATATTAACAAGGAAGATACATAAGCTGTGTATAATTTATGAAATTAACTCCTATTTCTCATTCCTTATTATCACTCAAACCCAAAATATTAATTCCCAAACAACTTCCAAGTATTAGTGCACGAGATATTTAAAATAAAAGATAATTTAAGAGTAAAGCAGGCATAGGTTCAGAATTAATATTTGTGCTTAATATAATTTCCCTGTACTTCATATAGCAGAAATGCAGATAACCATTTAATTAAAAAGAAGTAACAATTTATATTCATTTGAAAAAATGAGTAAGAACATTTAGAGGGACTTCAATGAAACAGTCCGCCTTTGGCTTGAAAAAGAAACAATAAGAAAGACCCCACATAAAATTTTAAATGAACTAAGTAATAGTCTGTACTTCCGAACTAAGTAATAGTCTGTACTTCCATTACCTACAAAAATCTATACACTAGGCCGTTAACCTACATAAGAACTATCTTAGATTTTATCTTCCTCTCGTAAATCTTATACTCAGAATCCTCATGATCCTTCATCTACAACTACTGAAACGAAAAACCCACTGCCCTCGAGTCTATTTCGACTCACAATGACTACATAGGGCAACAGAGGTGCCCCATAGGATTTCCAAGGCAGGAAGTCTTTCTCAAACTGCCACATCTTTCTTCCACGGAGTAGCTGATGGGTTGGTTCAAACAGTCAACCTTTTGGTTAACAGCTGAGTGCTTTAATCATTGCGCTTCCAGAGCTCCTTTACTGAAACAAAAGCCCATCTCAATTCTAGGGGAATCCTTTAACTTAAAAAAGCATAAGGAATCTAAATGAGGTGGGTTGAGCACAGCTTACTTTGAGTCAGCCCCACTAGACCCCCTTTCTCCTTTCAAATGGAGTAAGGATTTCTCTGAAGTTAGCTGTGGCTATCTATAATCCATTCTTTCCTTCTACAACTACCCTGGCTGTAAGGCATTCAAACAAAACAACCAAGGTTCTTCTTAATAGCCCTCACTTTCTTACCTTACTTTGGAAGGTAGCTATATATACTTGAGGTTTGCCTTTATTTTAATAAAGTGGAAAGAGTGCCGCAGCACAGGAAAAAGACTATGGAATGGGTTATAGTAGTTATTTTCAATGGGTGAAGGTACTTTCATCCAGTAACGAGAAAATATACTGATACAAATGTGGTTCAACAAGTACAATATGGGAGGAGAAAAATTTATTAAGCAGCACTGGGCTGACAAGCATATTTCAATACAGTGTTTTAACAGACTTACTTACCAGGTGGGCTTATTCTACCATTACTACTATTCTGTCTTTGAAGATGTTCTTTATAGCAAACTGAACACATGCCATTTGTGCGAGGATTTCCATAAAATCCACAGCCAGTGGAACAAAGCATAGGCACTTGGCTGTGATTAGTTTCTTGAGCCATGTTCCTCTGTTGCACACCTGAAATTTACACAAAATTAGCAAAGAATTCAGTCACAAAACTGTAACATAATTATTCAAATCTACTTTATATAATAGAGGAAAAACCCATGTATATACCCCTAATCCACTCTCTACATAGCTATCCCAACTAAGGGGAGGACTAGGAGAAAATCAAGATCAAAGAGACACACACTGAATTTCTCTCTCTAATCTGCTCTATACAAGCAGATCTGTACTGGCTCAGAAAGAATACAGAACTCCTAGACAAACATATTCATCTGTCTGTGATGAAGATTTCACACCACCATAATATTTTGGAAAACCCTTTTAAGTCTAGTTCAGTTTGGCCTCTCCTAATGAGAAACACACATTTTAAGTTTCATTATGCATACACTACTTAATTTCTAAGCATTTCAACTTTTGCTCCAAGTTCAAGCATTACCTTATGAAATTTATTCTTTTAAAAAACCATTTAACATACTATCAATGCTGATAGGGAGAATTGGGCAGAATGCTGGTGAAATGAGAAACTGGTGTAACTTTTCTGGAAAGCAATTTAGAAATTCACCTCAAGAGCCTTGTAAAAGACTGACCTCTGAACCAGTCATTCTCTTTTGAGGGTCTTATTCTAGGGTATAATCAGAAAAAGAACAAAGAATAATGTACAAAAATGAGCTTCACAGCATACTTACAATGCTTACGAACTGAAAATAACCTCTGTGTCCAACATTAGGAACACAGATTTTTAAAAAAAAATACGGTATATATCAATGAAAAAAAAATGCAGTCATTCAAAATATTTTAGAATACTTTTCGATAAAGAAAAGGTATGGTATGAAATATTTTTAAAATGTGTTGCTCATTGGACAAAAAGAGCATCTATCAATCATCACAAAGGATAAGAAAGAACACACCAAAGGGTGGCAAAGCTAATAGTGATTTCTTACCCCCTCAGATTTATGTCTTTCCGTACTTTTAAAATTTTCTTAAAATAAAGATAATGCTTCAGAATCAAGTCAAGAGCACCTAAAAACAACAGCGTAAGATGTTTATAAACCAAAAAAACTCAATGCCATAGAGTCGTATCCGACTCATAGAGATCCCCCTCCTTGGGTTTCCTAGGCAGTATCACTACGGAAGTAGATTGCCTAACCTTTCTTCCAAGGAGTGGCTGGTGGGTTTGAACTGCCAGCCTTCTGGTTAGCAGCCAAATGCCTTAGGCACTACAGGAAAATGTATGTGTGCACATGGTAACAGTCTGCACCATGTTCTCAATTTTTCTGTACACCTAAAACTATTCTAATAAAAAAAAACCATCTTAAAAAAAATAGATAATGCTTGCTTAATTGGGAAAATAAAAATCACATTGCTCTTTTAAAGTGTTTAAAAATACAATATAAAATTAAGTAGACAGAGAAGTCAACCAACCAGTCAAGTGATGCTGTGACTGGGGAACCAGTTTGGCAACCAAATGAAGGCAATAATCAATTTTAGGAGATGGAAGAACCCCACGTGCCATTTTCCCCATAAAGCAAATGGTTCTTTGGCATGAATAATATGGCACAAGGTAATAAGAGGTTCTTCTTATCTTAAAAAAACAAAACCTCCTAAATAAGGGTTACAACAAAATGAGTATATGTGTATTTACAGGGAAGTTTATGCTCAAAGATCATGAAGAATGAGACTAACCAATGGAGGAAAATGTTCTACCACTGAATTTTCCTTGAATTGATAAACTGCAAAAAACATTCACTGTTTACTATTACCAAATTTTACTTCACCTAAGTTATTTGAAAAGAGTTTATTAGAGGAGTTTTAATGCAAATCTCAGAACTAAGAGATATAATGCCCTTGACTAGATTATAAAACAAAGCAGCAATGTTAGCATTTGCCTTTAAAATGCATTCGCCTAGGAATACAATTTGCCATTTTGCAAATATCGTTGTTATTCCATGGAAGCAAATCTTCTTCTCTCCCTTTTTCTCCCATAGCACTATAAACATCTGTATCAAATTTTAAACACAATAATTATGATGGAATAGAAGAGCTAATGTCAAATATTTAATTAAGGATTTTTTTCATCTATGTTGCTAAGGGATACTGGTCTTTAGTTTTATTTTTATAGTGTCTTTTTCTGGTTTTGGTTATCAAGGCAATTGTTCAAGGTGAGCAGCTTAGATGGAGTTTGGGATTCAACCCAGGTAGTCTGGCTCTAGAGTTCATGCTCTGAATCAGTAGTTGTCAAAGTGTGGTCCATGGATCCCTGGGAAAGTCAAAGCTATTTTCATAAGCACACTAATTATGTGCCATGTTGACATTTACTCTGACAGTGTAAATGCAATGGTAGGTAAAACTACTGACTCCTTATCAAGGAGCCAAATCAAGATAGTGGCACCAAACTGCAGGACAAGTCATTATCATATTCCTCATCACCCTGTTCTCAAAGTAAAAATTATTCATTTGATTAAATCTTGACCTTGAGTGTGTGTCCTGTTAATATTCTTCATAATAAACTGTAAAGTACACATAAAAGGACTCTTGATTTATGATGACTGTCTTAAGTATTTCTTCAACTGTTCGAATTGAGAACTGAACTAGTTGCTTTCTTCATAGAACACTTTTATTTGAAAAAAACAACTGACAAATTCTGGTTATTGAGACCTGAGTACATGGCAGATATTTTCTTGAAAATGAATGAAGTGAGCCTATCTTTTCAAGGAAAACAACTATATAAAATCTGCAAAAGCTAAGACCTGTGTAAAGTGGAAACTTGTCCAAAAAGAAAAACTCACAACTAAAACAAAGGTAGGATTCTTAGCAGAAAACGCTAGTAAGCACCCTGTCAAAGGCCAAACACTTGTGAGACACAGAAAAAGAAGGCAGTCCCAGAGAGTTCCGGCTTTCACAGGTTTCATTTTAATAGTATTCACTGCCAAGGATAAAACTCAAGCATTCAAGTTAAAAATCTTGGCAACCACCTCCAATACTAAGAGTTTCTGATGAGATCAGGGGTGATATTACAGTAGTGTGATTAGCTGATACTGTATCAACATTTGGAAGATGTGCATAAATAAGTGAACCAGAATTTTCCGCGAGCAATGTATGATAGTACAAAATTATTCATAAGCAAAAGTTCACTCACAGTGAAAAACAGACAATGAATTTAAAAATAAAAGAGGACAAAAAGTCTTTTATATGGTTTCATATTCCACATTACAACTATCCTTTAAGAAGCTATTATTGATTGTCAAGTTTTGGTATAGAATCAAAACAGAACACTCTATATTATGTGAAAAGGTTATTAAAATACTTTTCCGATTTCCAACTATGTGCATGACCCAGAATTTATAACAATGTAACAGACTGACTATATGAGAATCTTGCCATATGCTAGTAAGCCAGACCTTAACGAGATATGCAAAAGTGTGTAATAATGTCACTAGTTTTACTAAATAATGGTGGTAGCTATTTTACAAAAATAATATTTTTAAATAATTTAATAAATATTTAAAAATTTTTCTCAGCTTTCATTTCTAATATAATATTGCTAAACAAAAGTTCTTTGAGTCCTCAATAATTTCAAACAGGGTAAAGGTGATGACACCAAAAAGTCTGAGAATTAATTGATGGCTGTAAACTATACATTCTCCATGCAGGTGATATTGTCTGCAAGTGGTAAACAGTGATTACTGCTAGCAGGGAAGAAAAAAACAGACTTATTCTTTTTATGTATAAAAGCACAGATATACATGTAATACATAAATAGATACATAACATATTTGTGGAACAAAAATTTTAAAAAGGTAGTTGAGCCAATTAGGAAAAAAGAAAAAAATCTAAAAGGGCTTCTTAGGGAACAATAATGAAAAAGAGATTGAGAAACACTGATCTTAACGACCAATTCTGCTGTGTTGCCTATTAATAATATTAAAATGACATAACATTAAAAGAGATTTCTCCACTGGCACTGATTAATTTTTCAGTATATGGCTAGAAATCACAAGCACTCAGAAGAGAGAGTAATTATCCCATTAAAAAAAAAAAAAAAAAAACCTCAAGTAAAATGCAAACTATGACCACCATTCTTTCTGTATCACAATACCCGCTTGAGAACAATTAAGGACTAAATTCAAAACATGTGTAACACTAGCAATTTCCCAAACTCAGACTGCCCTGCATAGCAGTAAATGAACAATGATTTTCATAGTCATGAAACCTTTCTGGTGAAAACTATCCATCACTGGCAGATAAAAAGCACAAAGTCTTTCACAGGTTACTTAAAAACCAGGAAACAAACAAACAAAAAAACTCTTTAATTAATCTTTAGGTCACAAAATATACCTTTACATGAAGATTCAAAAAGACTATAAACCACTAGGATATCTTAGTGGCATGAATGTAGTAGCTCTGGAGAACCTGGAAGACCTACCTCCCACTGCTACTTTATCTATTGGATAGATACACAATTTGCAGGGTCCATTAGTCTGGTATTCAAATGCTCAAGGAGGAAATGAGGTAGGGAAGTAAGTAAGAAAGCAGAAAAATCCCTTAATCGTTGTCCTGTGGGATGTAAAAAGTTATGAATATAGGGAGGCAAACAGTGAAAATACTCATAAATAGAAAAACTGATAAGCATGGTCTATAGCTTGGAGGGGAGCTCTGGTGGTGTAGTGCCTAAGGCATTTGACTGCTAACCAGAAGGCTGGCGATTCAAACCCACCAGCCACTCCTCCGAAGGAAGGTTGGGCAATTTACTTCCCTAGTGATATCTCCTCGGAAACCCAAGGAGGGGTCGCTATGAGCTGGATCTGACTCCACAGCAGTGGTTTGGTTTTTTTTTAATAGATTGGAGAGAATTCATAAAATGTGAATTCTGACTCTTAATAACATTCATAATCAAAACTATAACTATTACTTCCCTCTAAGCCTCCAAATAATACTTAATATTTATTGAGAGCCTACTATGGACCAGGAATTGTTTTTATTGTTTTATTTATATTACCTAATTTAATTCTCTC